AATAATTAATAGTCAACAAATAGAAACAAAAAAACCATCAATGAAGTATTTAAAAAAATAAATTAGTCAAAAAAATTGAGTCAAAATCAATTGAGTCAATAAGCATATTATCTGAAAATACAAAAAAACCAACAATTAATAATAACAACGTAACGGAAAATTTTTTATTATGTTGGTATACAAATGCTACATCATTAAATTGTAAATACAATGAGTTTATTGCTGAAGTAGTTACATCTCACCCACAGATACTTTTTATTAGTGAAGCATGGTTTAATGAAATGTCATTAAGTAATGTTCCGGGTTATAATATATTTTGCGCATCGAGTAGGTAAACAAGAAGAAGCTACGACTGGCATCTTGAATTTAAAAATTTGAATGCTAATTTTAATGCAACAAATTTGTCGATATTTACAATAAAGGACTTATATATTTCATTCAAACAGTTACAAAGAGAATTAATTAGAAAATTAATTAGCAAATTAATTAGAAAGAAAAGAAACCTCTGGAGAAATGTTTACATAATCGTTTTTTAAACAAAGGAAATGTATTAGAATTTAAATCAATTAGAAATAAAGTATAAAAAGAAATTAAGAACCAAATTAAATTTTATTAATATATATATATTATATTATTAATATAATTTATATTTAAACCCAAAAGCAATTTATGCATATATAAACAAAAAATAAAAAGTTAAAGAAGGAGTTAATGCATTAAATGTAAACAGTAAACTTGAAACAAATTATTTATCAAACATTCCTTAGATAACTATTTTAGCCCTGTTTTCACCAATGAAATTAGTGACAGTATACAATTCTTTAAAAATAGGACAAGCATTTGTGCTGACCCTACATTTTCACTGGACACAGTTTCTATAATCCTGAAGTCACTAAATTCAAATAAATGTACAGTAGTAGATGGAGTTCACCCGTTTCCTTTTAAGTGCAATGCAGATGCATTCTCACTTCCTTTGTCACTTATTTTTAATAAATCGTATGACACAGGAATAATTCCATTGATGTGGTTAAATGCTAACCTAACACCATTATTTAAAAGTGGAGATAAATCAGAACCATTGAGTTATCGACCAGTAGCACTTACTTCAGTTATAAGTAAAGTAATGGAACGTATCTTAAAAGCTACATTTATGTCGCACTTAAAAAATAACAATCTCTTGACTAAGGAACAGCATGGATTTTCTAAAAAAAAACTGTTGTACAAACCTTATAGAATCTATGGATCTAATAACTCAAGCAATGGAAGATAATTTACCAGTAGAGATCATTTTCCTAGATATGAAAAAAGCTTTCGATTCCGTGTCTCACAACAGATTGTGTCTTAAACTAAAAAGTTATGGATTTAACTATAAAGCAGTTAGATGGTACAAAAATTTCATAAGTAACAGAGCGCAGCGTGTTGTCTGCAATGGCGAATTTTCAAATTGGACCCAAGACAGACCGCAAGGGTCTGTCTTGGGTCTGCTTATGTTTATTGTTTATATAAACGACTTACTGAATGGTTATCAACGAGCTGATGATATTAAACTAATTAATATAGTAAGATCATCTTCTGATAATGAAAAGACTCAAACAGATCTAAACAAATTAATGACATGGTCATAATTATGGCTATTAAAATTTAATGTCAGCAAATGTAAATGCAGGCATATAGGTAGCAAAAATACTAAGCATATATACGCAATGTATGATTCAAAGTTAAGTAGAGTTAAACTACCAGAAACCAAAATTGAAAAAGATTTAGGAATTATGATTTCAAACGACTTAAAATGGTCTAGTCAAATTAATTATGTGTCTGGTAAAGTTAATAAAATGTTAGGAATAATAAAACATTCATTTAAAAACTTAGGCATAAATGCATCTAAATTATTATTCACCACTCTTGTAAGACCGTATCTGTTTTAAAAAAATTGAATCGATACAATGTAAAGCAACACAAATAAAATGTCTTCAAGGGAAAAACTATGAAAGTAGACTAACCTACTTTAAATTAACGACTCTTGAAAAAAGATGCAAACATATTGACCTAATCCAACTTTACAAAATAGTAAAAAAAATAGATAATTTAAAATTGGAATACCCACCAGATTTAATAGCTTCATATACGAGAGGTCACAATATGAAGTTTCATAGACAATTAATATAGATTATCAATTTTTCCATTTAATCAAATCAAAAGACAATCTGTAATGCTAAGAAGTCACAGACATAGAACTAACATAAGTAAGAATAAGCTTTTGGTTCTTCTAATGGTTTTAAACTTCTCTTTGGTTTCAACATCTGTAATGGTACGCTTTAGGCTTTAGAAACTGTAAGTTTAAAAAAAATTTTACGTGATGTTTATAATGTTAAATGGCTGCTTTTTCTGACAAGTTTGGAAACTAATTCTCCAATCTTTTAGTGTTTCTGCTGAAAACTTTTGATACACAATAGATAAGTTTCTATCACTTTCCAAATAGGATAACCTTTAACTGGAAATGAAACAGTTATGCTTTCAAATCTTTCTGTTTTATGAACTAGATAATACAAGAAATGCAAAATCCTGTTTTTATTTCGTTGAGCTCATGAATCACAAAACAATTTGATATACATTTTGATAATAAAAAATTTATCAATTGCTTCAGACCTCTTCTTGCCTACTGTTTCATAGAAATAAAAATATACCATCAAGTACTTGACAATCGATATTATCTATTTTTTAGTATGTGTTATATCATGGAATGACCAACCATTTTTTCTATGTGCTATATCACAGAATAAGCAAGTATTCTTTCTAGGATATTCAAAAGAAATGTTAAATTTTATATAAGATAATAAAAAGTTTTATATAATATTTTTACCCTATCATGCTGTCACTTTTCTGACATATGAAGAGTGTTGCTACATCAACTGACAAATAGATAGAACACGCAAGTAGTGTTGTTACATTGACTCATGATTTGGTTAAGCCAGGCAATTATATCAATTTTAAAAAATTTGATCATAATCATTTTCTTAATTTCTTACATTATTCAATTATTATTTTGATATTTTCTATTAATAGTCATTTTTTTGCTAATTTTAATCTAAATTTTTGGGATTTTTAAAACTTTTTTCACAATTTCGGTTTTGATATTAATCTGGAAAGTTCCCTTTTTGAATTAATTCAGTTGGGCTGTTTTTGATACTGTTACTACTATCCATGGTTGTTTTAAAAAAAACTATTAAAATAATGTGAAACATTATTTTAATAAAAACTATAATCAAAAGTATTTTATAATATATATTTTATTATTATTATTATTATTATTATTGCTATTATTACTATTATTACTATTATTACAGTTGTTATTATCATTTTCTGACAATCCAATTATTTTCCATCTTGTTTCGTAAGAAATACTTTTTTGAACCATTTTAATTGAAAATTTTAAAAGTTTCAAAAAATTTTAAACATAATAAATTGTTATAAATTTATATTTTTATTTTGTTTGTTTTGGTAATTCACCTCCCCATGCCCAAGAAGGCCACTACAGGCGAGGAGGCTACTTAATTGTGGTTATAATCCTCTTTCAACTCTATAACTCCAAAAAATGAAGCTTGACGAACAAGGCCGCTGCATGGAGAAACAAATTGAACGCGGTACTATCAGGGATGTGGTGGGCATCAAACTTGAAACCAATTGCTTCTGAAGCAAGCACTCAACCACTATACCACTACTGCATTAAAAATGACCCAGCAATTTTTCGAAAATATTAAGATTATATAGTTTATAACTTTTTATTTTTATATATTAAATAGACTGATGGTTAATTAAATATATCAAAAAAAAAAGGTTTTTTGATATAATTGATTGATTATGAAACAATTAATAAGCAAATCTGCTTATGAAGTATAAATAAATTATATTTAGATAATGGTTTTTTTTGTTGTTTTTTTATTATGTCTTGTTTTTAAACAAGAATTTAAATAATATAAAAATAATAAAATATTTTTTATTATTATTATTTTATTTTATTTATCTTTTTTTTAAAAGTATTTTATTATTTATCTAAGGTTGTACAAATATTGGTTGGAACTTTTTATGATGGACTATGACGATAAAATCGCAAAGCAAATGCAACAATATGAAGAATCTTGCCGATTCGCTGCTCAGGTAAGAGAAGAAGAGCAAGACATTGTTTTACGTCAAGGTGATGTAATTGCTATGACTACCACATGTGCCAGTCGCATGCGTTTTGTACTGCAGTCAATAAAACCAAAAATTGTTGTTATAGAAGAAGCTGCAGAAGTCTTAGAAGCACATATAGTTGCTTCACTTTTAAAAGAAACTGAACATTGCATACTTATTGGAGATCACAAGCAGCTAAGACCGAACCCGAATGTGCACATGTTAGCCAAAGATTATAATTTGGACTTGTCGTTGTTTGAACGCATGGTAAACAATGACATGAAATGTCCATCATTGAATGTACAACACAGAATGAGACCACTAATTTCTTCCAATTTAAAATATATTTACCCAAATTTGATTGATCATGTAAGTGTAAAAGCTTATCCACATGTCCTTGGAGTAGAAAAAAATATGTTTTTTATTAATCACTCAGAACCGGAAAGTTTTAGAAAACTTGGATCAAAAGCCAATTTACATGAAGCAAAATTTATCAAATCTTTTTGCTTTTATCTCTTGCAGCAAGGTTATCAACCAAGTCAAATCACTATTTTAACAGGATACTCTGCACAGCTGTTAGAACTGCAGAAGTGCATGCCAAGAGTTATGTTTGAAGGTGTTAAAGTTACCACAGTTGATAATTTCCAAGGTGAAGAAAACGATATAATAATATTGTCTTTGGTTAGAAGTAATGAACGAGGATCCATTGGGTTTCTTAATATAGAGAATCGAGTTTGTGTGGCTCTTTCAAGAGCCAAACATGGTTTGTATGTCATAGGTAACTTTCAGTTACTTTCTGAAAATAATTTACTGTGGAAAAAGATAATTAATGATGTTAGAGATAGTGGTTATTATGGAGATTTTTTACTACTTTGTTGTCAGAATCATCCAGAAACAAAAATAGCTGTGAGAAACGAAATTGACTTTGAAAATGCACCAGAAGGAGGGTGCCAACTAATGTGTGGTTTTATTTTGCAATGTGGACATGTGTGTGATACATTTTGTCATCCTTACGATAAGTTTCATAAAGAATATGACTGCCAAGAAAGATGCTTGAAGCAAATGTGTAAAAATAAGGAACATCTTTGTCTTCATAAATGTCATTTTGGAATTGAATGTAATCCATGTGATAACTTAGTAGAAAAAAAGTTTGAGTTATGTGGCCATATATCTCAGGTTCCATGTTCCGTAAGCACAAGTGAAGCAGTATGTCAGGAAACTTGTAGTAAATTAATAAGCTGTGGTCATCAATGCTCTAATAAATGTGGAGAAAAATGTCTGGACAAAATAAATTGTACTGTATTGGTTTCCAAAGTTTTAAAATGCGGTCATGTGCAAAGTGTGTTTTGTAATCAAGATCCTGATGTTGCTCAGTGTAACAAAACATGTGAAGCTGAATTGGCATGTGGTCATACATGTTCTGGAACTTGTTTTCAGTGTTTTGAAGGAACTTACCATATGAAGTGTACTATGACCTGTAAAAAATTTCATACTTGCCCTCATGAATGTAAAGTACGGTGTGGTCAAACTTGTGTCCCATGTGAACAACCCTGTTTGTTTCGATGCTCTCACAGGATTTGTCCAAACAAATGTTTTGAAACATGTGAGAAATGTTTAGAACCTTGTAAGAATCGTTGTTTACATAAAAAATGCACTAAATTGTGCTATGAAGAATGTAACATTGATCCTTGCAATAAAAGGTGTTCTTTGTTACAAAAATGCAGACACCAATGTTATGGCTTATGTGGAGAGACTTGTCCTTCTTATTGTTTAAGATGCTTCTCAAATTCAAACTTAATTTCTTTTCCACTTATTGTACTAACTGATTGTGGTCATGTGTTTCCAGTATCTGAGATTGATGCACTCTTCGAAAAAAAGCATGTTTCATCTGTTGCATATATTAAGTGTCCTTCTTGTAATGAACCTATTTTAAATACAAAGCGTTATAGAATGCAAATTAAAAATATTCGAGATATATTTTCACGTATTTACTGTTTTAACCTTAAAAAGGAACTTTCTTTAGCTGCGGTGATATTAAACAAATGCTACGATGTTTGTCGAGATTTGTCAAATTTCATGATGAAAACTCCTACGCTTACTTCACAAGAAAAACAAGATTACACATTCATAGTTAATAACAAGAACCTTGTTGAGTTTCAAACAAATCTAGATTTGCGTTATTTAGCCAGAAGCTCAACTAAGTCTGAGACATTATTAATTGCTGAGCGGTTAATTCAGAGCAAAAGTATTTTAATGGCCCAGCGTTTGTATAATCAGTTACAGATTTTAGTGTGTATTAACTATATACAGAATGGTCTAAAACAAAAAAACTCTAATGAAGAGGTTCAATGTATTTTGAATGACCTACACGATATTCTTTATAACACAATGGACAATGCCTTGACCTACCAAGAGTCATTAGATCTTAGCCAAGGTGTTCAAAAGCTTCAGTTTCTTCTTCAATTGATTCTTTGCAAACAATCTATTGAGTTGATACTGGAAAAAAAAAATCAAAATGCATCCTTGGCTGAAGTGTATGTTTCATTAAAAGAATCAATATCTGAATTACACTCAGTAGGACTCGGTGACACCTTAAAACAGAGGAAAAAAATATTTAAAATGCTTAATGGTCATGTGACTATTCCTCTAACTCATATAGCTAAACCTGCTTTAATTTTAATAAAAGAGGAGAATTGGAAAATGTGCAATGAAGGTCATATTTTTACTGATTTTAAAGAAATAAATTGCCCAAAGTGCATTTTTCCCTCATTTGAGATCACTGAAAATATGTTTAATAATTTTGAAGCTTTAGATAGTAGTGAAGCGACTTCTCATACATCCATGTCAGAGTCTTTATTTAAACGCAATAACATACCTTTAAATAATATGTTGACAAAAACAGATAAGCAGATCCAATCTCAATCATACATAGGTTCAGATTCATTTTCCTTCCCAAAGAAGAGTTATTTATCTGAAAAGTTAGACTTTGATGAGCTTGATTCCAACGATTCAGATAGATCAAATCCCATATATGAAGATAATTTTGACCATAGAGATGCCTTATTACCTGGTAAAAGTAATGAAGTTGGTATTTCCTTGGTTAGCCATTTAAATATTTCAAAAGATAACTCTGATATTAATTCTAACAGTATTTGTCAACAGCAGCATCCTAGTAATGTGAACACCTTAATTATGGGAATAAAAAACTTTTTCTTTACCGTAAGTATTATATTTATTTATATTTTTTTATAATTTGCATGCAGTAATATAAGCAAAATCTTATTACTATATTATTATGACTAAACCGTTAATATAGTAATCGTTACTATAGTGTTTGATTATTTGTAATTTTTATATAAAGAGTGTGCTGAAAAAAAGTTTGTTTTGATTTTTGAATTGCTATATTGCTGAAAACTTGCTTCTAAAGTATTATTTATGTATGGAGCTAGTGCATGGCAGTTAAATATTTTAACAATTGAATTTATTTTTTTTTTTTTTTAATAAATGGTATTAAAGAAAATAAATTTTTTAAAATCTACAAAGTACTAATCTACAAAGTACTATGATAAAATAAGAATCATTTTTAAATTCATTTTTTTGATTGTTTAAATTTGCAGTTTTTAAAAAAGAGTCCTTTACTTTTTTTTACTTTTATTAGCAGCTTAAAAAAAGTTTTTGAAAACTAAACATAAAGGACCTGGAGGTAAGTTTTAAAATACTACCTCTCAAATAGTAGCTACCTAATTGTTTTTGTTTTTTTCTATTGCTTGAGCGTGACATAGAAACTTTTTACAGTTTCATTTAGCCGCTGTTTTACCTGAATAAAGCTTCAATCAAATATCTTTATTGGAGATTCTTATGCAGCAAAATTGATTATAATGGTCATGATGATGATGATGACGATGATGATGATGATGATGATGATGATGATGATGATGATGATGATGATGATGATGATGATGATGATGATGATGATGATGATGATGATGATGATGATGATGATGATGATGATGATGATGATGGTGATGATGATGAAACAGTAGCAGTGTTCTAGTCATTATATAATGGCAATCATCTGGTGTAGTCAGTCACAAGTTTATTTTTGGGTGATTGTTCTTGAACATTCTTTAAAAAACTAAACTTTTTTGAAATCGAAATCGAGGATTAAAACTTTTTCTACTATTATTTTCTATCGAGCCATACATCGAGGTACTTATGAATTTAGGAGGTAAGAAAGATTTATGTTGAATTTTTAATGCTCAAATGCAATTTCTCTATTTGCAGTTGCTTCATCATCTTCATCATCTTCAATTACAATCACATTCAATTAATTATTTAATTACAATCACATTCAATTATGTCCAGTGTATGATACTTGTACATATTTCAGTGGCCATTTTACATTATTAGTCTAACGGTTTAAACTTATCATACTGTACCGTATGTATCAAATATGCATCATACATTATTCTACTTAAATAGGTTTAAACTACTTGATATAAAGTTTATGTAATTTTATAAAAATAAAAACGTTTATTAGAAAAATAATAAAAAGCTAATATTAAAATATTTAAGTGCGATGAAAAAATAATGCTGATATTATCTGTAAAGTTTTAATAAATATTTACAAATATTAGTATTATTTTTGTGTGGGTGTGTATGTAGAATATTAAAAATGGAATTGGGGGGAGGGGATGGAATACTAATAAAAAATATTTTTTCATAAGCGTTCCACTATTAATTAATAATCTATACAATTTTTTATCAAAGCATTTAGCCTAAAAAAATGTGAATTTGCTTGCATCAGATTTAAATGTCATTTTTGTTAAAAAATAGTGAATCAAAAAATAAAAATAAAGTTGGTAGACAAGTTGCTATCTAGTTTAAATAAAAACTAACGATTGCAGATCTATCTCTTTTATTTTAAAAGAGATAGATCTGCAATCTAAAAAAGTGTGAATTTACATTTAGCCTAAAAAAATGTTAATTTATTTGCATCAGATTTGAACGTCATTTTTGTTAAAAAATTGGTAAATCAAAAAAAAAACAAGTTGGTAGACAAGTTGCTATCTAGTTTAAATAAAAACTAACAATTGCAGATCTATCTCTTTTATTTTAAATATTTGCATAATCTAATAAGCAGCTGTTGTGACCGTGAAAAATTTTTATCCGATGTGTACCAAGATCAGGTTGTGTACTTATCAAAATCTCCAAGAATCTAACGAATGTGAGAGGCTAGTGGTACCAATGTTGAAAATTTAAAAAACAATGTTTGTGTCTCCCAGACCTGTTTATCAAAGCAATATTTAATTGGCAAGTTTTTTTGTACAGAAATTTAAAAAAATATTAGTAAAGATTCTTTTGAATTTCAATAATCTTAACAATAAAACAGTTTTATATCAACATTATGAAAAAAAATTACTTTTTTTTGATATAATAATAATAAATATAAATTTTATAAAAATATTTTTTTATAATAATATTTTCAAAAGTATTTACTAAGTAATTACGTTAATTGGAATAAAAAAGTGAGTAAAAAGTTTACGAATTTGTCACATTTTTACTCTATATTTGTCACATTTTTACTATATATATATATATATATATATATATATATATATATATATATATATATATATATATATATATATATATATATATATATATATATATATTGAGCAACCGTGGCGTAGTTGTTGTGCACTTGCCTCAAAAACAAAGGATCCATGGTTAGAACTCCACCTCATGGTTAGAACCCCACCTCTGGGCGACATCGTTTAGGAAGGAGGAGTGAACTTCCTAAATGCTCTTTCTTGATGCTCTGTGATAAGACTGTAAGTACTTCTTGGGGCACCTAAAATATATATATATATATATATATATATATATATATATATATATATATATATATATATATATATATATATATATATATATATATACAGATAAATAAAATATTGACTAAAATGAAAGAAATTAAAAGAAAAAAATATTATTTTTCTTCCAATCTAATAAGAACTTTTTATCTTCTAAAATACCCCATTAATGGTCTACCATATTGAAAGCTGCCTACCATTTAAAACAGTTTAAGTTTCTTATAACTTTTATTATTAGGTTAGTAAATTTAACGACGTAAATTTTTCTCTTCGATTTTAATTTATGTAACTTAAAAGAAAATTTAAAGTCTCATAATATAATTATTTTAGGCATGCTTACTTTATTTCTTATGCTTACACTAAAACATGATATTAGACATAAGGGTGATTTCATTAGAAATAAAATCGTAGATAAGTGGAAAGGCAAAAGATTAAAGTTACACATTGACGTTATACTTGTGAAATAAAATTGTGAGCTGAAGAACATCTCTCTTATAAGTGACTAGCATTGTAGATATATGTTAGTAAACACCATTTATGGTATTTAGAACTTCTGGGAGGTTGGACAAAGTAAAAAAATTGTTACTTGGAATTAAATTTTTTAAATCACAAAAAATTTATAATTTTTGACAAAAACCATTGAAAATCGAAATATGAAAAAATGTGTAAATTTTTTTTCTAATTTTGATATTCAATTTTACACAATTTATCAATTTATCAATCGCAAAATCGATAAATTGTGTAAACAATTGCAGGTTGTTTATATGAAATGTGTATTCTTTGTCTCACACAGTTTCGAAAAGTCTAGCTTATCCACTCCGGATTCGAAAGACATTCTGTTTGGTATTCTTATAATTGAAAATTCAAAGTGAGAAATTCAGGCAGGTGATTTTTTTAAGTTCAAGATTTTTAATACTATGTTTGTGTAGATCATGTTTTTTGCAATTAATTCAGATACGAACAGTGGCAAAACTGGTAAACACAACAGAGCAACCAGATATTAATAATGGATAACAAGGAAAAGTTTAATGATGCTTAATAAGAATATTGAATGACCTCAAACTGAGAAATAAGTTTAAATTACCTCTGCTTTTTTTCCTATTATGCTTATTAAATGCGACAACTCTTTAGAGAAGTTTTTTTTAATATAAGAGACTTCTTGCACTAGCAGACAAAATTCTGCCTCATAACAATAAGGTAGAAATGATAGAAGTTTGCTCGTCGATTTTAAGCCAGAGATTTAGACGTGGTTCGCCCACAAAAGTTCCTAATATGGACAGTAATCTGACACTCCCTAACCTCGTTGGTCCAGAAAGCTGAATCCTTTTCAACATTTTTGGTAATATAATAAAGATGTTAATCTTTATCATAAGCACCAAAATAATAATGATAATCGAGTTCAATGTAATTCTTTTACACATGACCTTATGAGCTAAATCTTTAAACATAATCAGTAATCAGTTTGATATAAATTACAAGGACAGTGTCCCTGGATTTTTAATTTTGTTACAAAATGATACAGCCTAGTGTGTGTGTGTATATATATATATATATATATATATATATATATATATATATATATATACCTTTTTATAAAGGATTATCCATCTCGCCACCTTTTTATAAATAGCAATATTCTCTTTATAAAACAATCATTAGGTTTTTAATAATATATATTATTAAATATACATAAATTTATATTTTTTTAATAATATATAAATATATATATATATTTTTAATAATATATAATATATATATATATATATATATATATATATATATATATATATATATATATATATATATATATACTTTTTTATAAAGAATTATCCATACTGCCACCTTTTTATAAATAACAATATTCTCTATATATAACAATCAATAGGTCGGATTTTTTTTTTTAATAATATATAATATATATTTTTTAATAATATATATATATATATATATATATATATATATATATATATATATATATATATATATATATATATATATGCTTTATAATAGTTTATGCTTATATTTGAATATAATCTATAACTTATTTTGAAAATTAGGCTCCTTAGGTTACAACTCGAAAACGTTTGCTTCACTTAGTTGTTTATATTAAGCGAAATAAAAAACAGTACAGTGCTTCACAGCTAATAACTTCTATGGAAATATTACGTTATAAAGATGATCATAAAGTCTTATTTTTATTAATAGCATATTGGTATTTTTTTTAACTTATTTCTAACTACATAAATATGTAGTATTTTTATTAGGAAACGAATACATTGTTTTGTTATTGTTTGATAAATTTATCCTTACTCTGGAAAAAAAGTGCTTCAGAACCTCTTCAAAATGTTAATATCTTGAATCGAAATATTACGTCATAAAAATGATCATAAAGTCTAGTCGAACGGTGTTTTTATTATTAGCATATTGATATTTTTTTAGTTTTTTGCTAACTATATAAATATGTAGTATTTTTATTAGGAAACGAATAAATTATTTTATTATTGTTTGATAAATTAATCCCTCCCCTGCCATGCTTCTCCGCGGTGCTCTGCAATAAGACCGTAAGGAGTTCTTGGGGCACCGAAAAAAAAAATAAAAACAATAAAATGCATTATTATAATGACTATTAATGCACAGCGTTGTTTAATATTGATACTAGCATGTCTTTAACTTTATTTTACTACAGTGTACTCTTGATTATAATAGCTGCTTATTGCTGAGCACGAAGTCAGCACCACTGTATTAAATATTTGCTAAACACGCCTCACGTCATCTTCAGTGCAGCAATAGGTGTCAATTATAGGATTATCTGTATCAATAAAAAATTTACTTCCTGTCAATGTCTTGTAGAAAGTAACCTCTCCTTTTAACAGCAACTGATAATTGTTTGTATTTGTATTACAGGGATTATCTTATTCCGGATATTTCCGGAATTCCGGATATTTTTTTCAACTTATAATTTTTCCGGATATCCAAAACATTTTCAATAAATGCAAGTTGAGGTATATATTTTTGTAATATATTTATTTTTTAAGCTTTTTCACTCATCACTCATAGAAAAATTATGAAAAGTATTTTAAAAAAATTAGCATCAACTTTGCTAAAAGCGAAATTAAAAAGAAAATAAGGGAAACAAGTTCAGGATTTTTTCCGGATATTTTATCCAAACAATTTTCCGGATGTTTAAAATATGACTAGGATAACCTATGGTATTATAAACATTCTCTTCAGTAATAAATCACTTTCCTTTTGACTCATGCAAATGAAAAAGTATCCTCTTTATTTCTCGCAGTCCAACAAACGGCTTTGATGTTGCTGCTGCAGCTGCTTTGATATAAACAAACACTTCATCAGCATGCATCTTGAATATCTAATGATACTTTTCAAGTGTGGTGATATTTGACTAAAATATCAACGACACATCTTTAATCTAGCTTCCGCCATCAATAGTTATTTTGTAACAGCAATTTTTTCCTGACAAGATGGCACACGTTGCAAAGTTGTATAATAGTAAGTATAGAAAGCTTCTTAAATAGACACCTTAGGCAAAACTTGTAGCTGCTGCATATGTTATACAATCTTGTATGTGTCTTATTAGAGTTCCTTAATAAGCGGTAAAATGCAACACGCCTCTCCAAGTTTTATTTATAGTTAAAGTTCAGCTACAACCTAGAAATTTGAATCGTTCTTTTGCATATAAATAAATGCATCTGTTTGCTGACTTCTAAAACCAATGTTTAACTTAAATCTTCGTAAACCATCTGATACGAGGTTTGTGCTCTTTAGTACACTTCTAATGACTGTTTTTACACTGTTCTTTTTTAGAACAGTGAAAAAACAGTATTGAACAAAAATGTTTTTGTATTTTTTTTCGTTTTTTATTATTTAATTTTAAAAACTAAAAGAAATTTTTTCTTAAATCTTTTTTTATTTGAATATATCAAATAATCACAATATAAATTTATTATAAAATAATAATAATTAAAAAATAAAATATTGAAATGTGTTGATTTTTCACCAAATAAAATAATAACGATGGAAATGATAGCAAAGATTCTTCAATAACAAAAAAAATACTTCAATGCGAATAACAAAAATATACTCCAATACAAATAACAAAAAATATACTCCAATACAAATACCAAAAAATATACTCCAATACAAATACCAAAAAATATACTCCAATACAAATATATATAAATGATTTTAATGTAACAAATTCCGATATGTGTAAATTCCAATAAATGTAAAAAGCTTCAAAATGAAATATAGACAAAATCCAACGTGATAAGCTCTAACTAAAAAATACGTATACAAACTCTAAAAAAATCTTGAATAACAACCAGTATTCTCGTCTTTTTCCTTCTGCCATCACAGTCTTTTCTCTCGCATTTATACACCAGATATTTCTTCTTACCGAATGTTCTTTCATTTTCCGCAGCGGGCTATTGCGTACGTTCGCGTCGACTGGTGGATTTACACATGTTTTAGAACATTCGACACTCCTTTGACACTGTTAAACTCCTCCTTTTTTTTTTTTTTTTTTTTTTTTTTTTTCTTTGCCGTTTGATAAAATTTACAATAAGAAAGATCGTACATATATAATATATGGCCGGAGCAAGAAGAAGACCTATATTGTCTTATCGCCAAGCCCCGTTTACATTGTTGCCTTTTGAATTGTTCTAGGGAGAAGTTTAGAAGAGTTTTATTTTTAATAATATTTTTCAAAAAACTTTTCCATATAAATGATCCATGGTATTGAATTTGAAATGAGCTGAGTTTTAAATTAGATCTTGGAATAACAAACATATCAACTGAAAATTTTGTGGTGTATTTATTAGTAATTTCATTGAAGTAAGAGTGAAATATATTAGGAGACAAACCATGTTTTGATTTAAACATTAGAAGCATAACTTGGTATATATTAATTTTATAAACATTAAGTGCATTAAGTTCGTTTAGAAGAGATTCACCATTAACAGCTCTGTTAACGCCAACTATAATCCTACATGCATGTTTTTGTTTGCTATAGATTTTTTTAAGTTTCCCATAGTTAGTACTTCCCCATGCAATATTGCAATAAGAAAGATAAATATGAATAAATGAAAAATATATAATTTTTAAAGACTTAATATTAAGAAATGGTTTAATTTTTTATAACATTGAAAAATTTTTGGAGATTTTGTTTTCAATAGATTTAATATGATATTTCCATGATAAATTTTCATCTATAATCACTCCAAGAAAGTTAACAGTTGACTCTTTTTTAATAATTCTTTTATTCATAAAGAGATTGGGTAATTTTAGAGAAAGGTTATCTCCCCTACGAGGTTTGTGGAACAAGATAAATTTAGTTTTCTCACCATTTAATGAAAATTTATTATTTGTAATCCAGTCATTTATTTTTAATAATTCTTCGTTAGATATTCTAAACAGTTCTTTTATATTATTGTGTGAGTAAAAAAAATTCGAATCATCAGCAAACAAAATAACATTTAAAGCTTTGGATGCTAAGTATAAATCATTAATATAGAGTAGGAATAAGAGCGGCCCTACGATTGATCCCTGGGGAACACCACAAGTTATAATATGATTTTCAGTTTCATTTGCTGTATATAATATGCATATAAATGTGATCCTTGATCCTCAAGGATTACATTCAAGAGCAATAACTATTAAAATGTTTGAGAGGCAATTGTTGTTCTTGATTGATATGGCGTAGGGAAGCCACGGGATCCTGAGGGTCACTGTTAACCGCCGATTGATCTTCATTCTCATTTAAAGCTTCGTTCACGTCCGTATTCCCTAAGTTTTCAGCATCGTCTGCGCCCTTTTTTTTATATCATTAGTTCCAATCTCTATCTCTACTTCTTGGCCTGATATGCTTAACGTGGCGTGGCATCCCGTCCACCTCGACTAAGTGATCCGATAAATCTCGGGTGATGGTACCTGAACGCCACTTAGTTACACATCACGCCTCAAGGGAGTTTTAGCCACACATGTTCGTCAACTCAAGAGGTTTCTTGCTGCTGGATTACCTCAGTATTTCCCTGTGAAAGCGATAGGTGACGTCAAAATGCAAACCTTAAGGGGTTGCAGTCTATCAATGTAGATAATGATCTGTTTGTAATCGATAAATCTAATTTTTTCATGCGTCATACAGCAGGACTTATTGATTGACATGCTGGATCTATTAATTGACACGGTTCACACTCATGAATTATTTTGCTACATCTTCTTCTATTGCAAAGCCAAGACCTAGGCAAACGTTTTCAAATCTAAGGCTTATATTTTGGCTTTAAGTTACGTTAAGGTCAATTGTTAACAAAAATGCAGGTAGCAAGTACTACCTTATTAATATTATTATTATTATTATTATTATTATTATTATTGCTATTATTATTATATTATTATCATTATTATTATTACCATATTAAATTTCCGTGAACCAACCATGTCATGTTGTTTTAAATTGGCTAGTCAAAAATAGCAGTTTAAACCATGACATAAAACGCCAAACTAAGTTTTAAAGTTTTAAACAAACAAAAGTAGCTCTTGTGAACAAAATCAATTGTTGTACAATTTTTAAAATGCAAACACGAAAAGAAAGTTCTGAAATTAATAAGAAAAGGGGGAAGGCCAATAACAAAATGTTTAAGGCCAAGGTCTACAACTTCAAGGCCAAGTTAGAAAATTTGTTGCTTTTGACTGAATTTTTCTATGTTGGGAAAATTGAGCTCTGGTATTCTTTACAGATTTTTGATTTCAGAAAACAAAACTGAATTGAATTCATTAAATTCATTTATTAAAAAGATGATTATTATGATTTTTTATCAAAATCTGGCGCCACAAGTTCTTAGGAAAAACTTGAGAAAAGTCCATAAGAAAAACTACACAAATCTTGACGCAAAATGGGCATTAATGAGCCATACATAAATTGTCATAACTAGGAAACTAATTAACCAAATTTAAAATATTTAACACATTCGTTATCTACGTAATTCGGTATCACTTATAACAAAAGATAGTAATGAAAATAAAATCATGTGAAGTGCTTAGTAATAGGGTAAATACAAAGTAACAAAATAACTTATTCCCGTTATAAAAATAACTTATCCCCGCTATAAAAAGAGGTGAATTGTTTAACAAAGTTTTAAATAGTTTTATTCACTTTGACTAAAAATCGATTAGTCAAAATTAGTCGACTTTAAAATATTCGGTTGAATCGACTATAAATTTCCTACTAATCGCCTAAAAGTCGATTTAATTGAGTAATTTAACCTAATATTCCTACTTGCATTTTTTCATTTGAGTTAACTTTAATTCATATTTTATGAGCTATTTTTTTTGTAAATATTATTTTAGTTTTTTTGCTGCTGAAAACTTATGTTTAAAGCAGGTTTTATAATTTTTTTAACTAGAATTTTAAGGAATTAAATAGAAATTTAGGCTCA